TTTTCATATATATATATATATATATATATATATATATATATATATATATATATAGAGAGAGAGAGAGATTTACATTCCTGCAACTGTTGTATGTGCAGCAATCAAATATTTGCCATATATATACGTGAAAGTATTAAATGCGGGGAATCATAACTATACAAAGGATAAAAGCATTAAATGTGAAGAATCATAATCATACACCTGTCGTTGTTGTATGTAAAGCGGCTGCAGAAATGATTTTATCATATAGGTGTTTACATTTCTGCTGCTGTTGTACGTGCAACAATCAAATATTTGCTATATATATATATATACATGAAAGTATTAAATGCAGAGAATCATAACCATACAAAAGATGAAAACATTAAATATGCGGAATCATAACCATACACTTGTCTTTACTGTACGTAAAGCGGCTGCAGATAAGTGGTATATATATACACACACCATAATTATATTTATAATTATGCAACAAAACCTTAAATATCCGAAAGATTGTTCTCCCAACTAGTACTATTTGCAAATTATATTACCTTTAATTTTAACTTTTAAAATTTTAGATCAAAGATTATTACTAGAATATTCCTCCCATCATACTAAAAGTATAAAACAGATCTAGATAAGATAAGAACAGGGAAGATATGAACTCCCCTTATAATATTTGGTTTAATATGAAGCTCATTATTGTGAATTATTAGCATTAAAAGTGTAGGGATATGTATGAAGTAATATATTGGAACCGCTAAAAGCACAAAAAAAAAAAGGGAGGGTCCAAGAAAAGTACCTTTTGCAAAAACAGTAATCAACATTAGATGCAACCGAAAGCACAAGTCATACTAGTATACCAGCTGGCCCATTTAACAGCTCACTGGGGAATATCTTATTCCTAATTTGGCTATTTTTGATTAATAACATAGCAACAATGTATGAATGTCATTGTATTTGGCTATTTCATGATTAAAAAACAAATAAGTGGTCCATATAATTGCAAAAAATACCATCTTCTTTTATTTCCTTCATTTACTCCCGTAGTTAGTAGCTGACTGGCCAATGCTCCTAAGAAAATGATGGAAAGAAACTTAATCAATTTTGCCAATTCCAGTTCATAAAAAAATATGCATTAATAAGGTTAACAACTTAACGAGCAAGCCTTGAAGCAGCGATAAAATTATTTCATATGACCGGAATGTCACGGATTCAAGTATGAGAAATAATCTCTTTATAAAAAATATAAAAATTAGATTGTATATAATCGACTCTCATCTCTAGTCTCGTAAGTCGAGAAGCCTTGTGGACCCACTAGTTAAATTTGGAGAAATAATTAAGCAGAAGCCTACGGAGCCAAAGAGCTAGTATATTGTGCTACTTTGGACTCAGAACTATAGCTTACACCCTCACCTTGCAACCTAGTTGACTTTAATACTGTCTACGTATTTTGTCATTTCTGAGTAACCAAAGGCAGAGTGTCCAAAACCAGCTATCAGTGTCTGCTTTAATCTCAATCATACCAGAGAATATTGCAGAATGCATAGTCCTCAACAAAACCGGTTGATATCAAATTACCAACCCTTGAATCAAAGGTATTAAAGTAAAGAACAACATTAAACAAAGTTTGCCAGAATAAAATACTAAATGAAGCAACTAGAGACTAAATTAATGGGCAGAGCAGTAACTTTATTCTTTCATAATATCAATCATGCTAGAGAACATCACGTAATGCCAAAATTCCCTTAAACCAATAATTTCCTTCAGTATTTTGTAGGTCTCAACTTCTAACCGAAACATCAAATGTTTGCAACTTTAAGGATCCAAACTGATACCAAAAACAAACCCAAAAGTAGGTCCTCTTGATCAAATACCTCAGCAAGACATTACATTATCTAGTTGAGGAGTCCTTGATTGGTTGAACCACCTGTTTGTTCGTCATCCTTGTAACCATAAGCTACAAGTGTCATTTTCCTCCTCCTTGTATCTAAATTCAAACCAAACCACTCACTAGAGCTAACAACATTCTTTATTTTACTCTCTCGTTTTGTTCTAAATAACCTTGTAGAATATTTCATTTTATCATTTAAAAATTACTTTTGGCATTCCTCTTGATATTTAAAGTTTTTCATGACATTATATCCAAAGATTTTTTTTTGGATAAACCACAGGTATCCTTCTCGGGAGGCAATCCTGTTCGGGACGATTCTAGAATTAAGACTTTAAACTTCTCCCAAAGATGATACTAGGAGGATCGAAAACATGATCTCACCCTCACATGCTCAGCTCTCATACGCAAACTGAGCTACTATCATTTGATTGATATCTAAACATTTTAACAAATATTGAGTAACATCTAGAGGACTCTCATATATTATGCTTATATATTTATAAAGAGATTGTGTCTTAAATTTGAAACAGTAACTTTTCGGTCATAAAAAAATAATTTTATCACTGTTCCAATCTCGCCCTTTTAAAAACATACTTGCAACCAATTTGGTCATGAAATTATAAATTGGATGCTGACCAGCATTGTCACAACAAATAACTATAGGGCTACAATTTGTGGAGGGTCAGTGTATGGACCTTGTGCAATTACAACTTAAGTTGGAAAAAATATGATATCCTGTTCAATTATAATCAGAGAGATGAGGCATCCTAAGGTCCACATGCATGATCCTACTTCATTATTAGTCCGGTGGTATTAATGTCCTGAGGGTCCTATTCATTCATGTAATATTAAACTTGTTGGTGAGGGAGGGCGGTGATTATGTTTTCTTTCTCAGGATTAATGTGTTGACCTAAGAAAATCACCAAAAGAGACTCAAATATCCACTAAAGTTGGATATTTGAGTTAGCCCACTATTACAACAGTAGTAATGTATGGGTTGCCAAGATATAGCCCACAGATAATTAACGGCTTCTACAGGCCTCTTTGAGATAGAGTTTTGGGCTTGTAACTTGTATATATGGTTGAAGCTTGTAAATATTATACTGAACCTTTTTTGTCCTTGCCTTTTGCTATTGTTTTTGATAAATAAAAAAATAATTCTGTTTGAACCGAAAACAATTCTGTTCAAAGAATTTTTTTTTGCATTTACAAGTATTTAAACTCAAGATTTTATTTAAGCAGAATCAAGTATGTACTACTTGAACCAACTTTTTTTAATTTTCTTAGCTGTTGTTGAACTTGTGACACCTCTCACAAAAAAAAAAATCTTTAAAATTATGTACGAATAATGTAAAATATATTTAATATATTATAAATAATTTTTTTTAAATTATATAATTACATTGCTTAAGTGTATAATATATTGTTAACGTGTTTTATTTTAAAAAAAAAAATCATTAAACTCAAAATAATGGAAAATGTATCAGTAGTTCAAATAGTGAGTTTTCTTTCTGGTTATTTATTTATTTACTCATTTATTATAACTGAATTGGCTAAAGGAAAATTTAAGGCTCCATTTAGATTGAAATTTAACTTTTTTTTATAAACAAAATGACATATAATCAAGATTTTATACATATTAATTTACTTATTTCGTTTTGTATAGAATGTATGTTACCTTATCTAAATACAGCATTATAATTGAAAAATTAAATGTAAAAAAATATTAAAAGTCAATCGTAGTATAAATATGAAAACAATGATAGTATATATATATAAACAATGATAGTGAGAAAATAAAAATATAATACTAATATGAAAATGAAAAATAGATGGAGTAAACACAACATTGAACTTGAATAATGAAAGTTCCAAGAAAAAATGCAACAATGTACAAATTACAAGAGTTCATAATTAGTAGCTAATTTAACATTGTCATGTATAAAGTTTCAACAGACCTCGTATTTGGCATTATTGGTTCAAATATATGAATACAATTATACAACATCAAAATAAGGAAATAGTCAGGTAAGGCTTACATTAACTGAAATCCAATTAAGCCCTAGAATTTGTATAAAATGTTTATAAACTCCAAATAAAATATGGAAAAAATATTTGACTTTTTAAAATGATATAACTTTGTGTCATTTTAGATGAAACAATGTCATTTTGGTGTATAATTGATGATTTTTTTATATTCTCTCTCTTCCATAAAATTAGGAAGAGAGAGAATATAAAAAATCACCAATTATACACCAAACGATGTCTTTTAATCTAAAATGAAACAAAATTATATTTTTTAAAAGGATAAATATGTTTTCATAAAATATTATGCCTATGTTTTATGCCTATTTTACTACCTTTCTCATTTTTTTGGATACCTTTACTACTTTTCTATAACACCATTAGACCACAATCTTCACCTTCTCTTTCTCCTCTTGATATTGTGATTTAATAGTGTTAGAGAGGAGTAGATACATTAGGAATGAAAAAAAGTAGGTGTTTCCACCAATGTCATTTTGGAGAGGGGCCTTAATCCTCGACTCACCCTGCACTCGAGATTAATATCATAGCCATTAAAGATTAAAGCTTGTGGGGATACCCGATAAAATTACTCGTCTCGAAGATGTAATAAGGGTTGATACAAAAAAATAAATAAAGTAGGTGTTTAGTTGAAAATTTTAACTACAACAATCAACAAAGATTTGATAAACAGAAAAACATATTATTTTCTTTCTTCTCTTCAGATGTTATATTTTCTCTTCGTGTGATCTAATGATGTTGAAGAAAAATAGATAAAACATGTATGAAAAAATATAGATATAATGTCCTTTCCCTTCTTTCTTAAATAAAATAGCAATATATGATGATATTTTAAAATAATTTTTTTAAATGTTTTTTTATCACATCATATACAGAATAAGATCAATTTAGAAGTGTACTAAAAAAAAATAATAAAGTTATACAAAAAAAAAAAAATAATAAATAAATTTAGAAGGGTATAATAATATTTTACAAGATTGAATTTAACGCATATATATCTTAACTTAGTTATGGTCACGGGCCCTAAAAAGAAGCCCAGCTAAGACCCCAAACAAATCGAAATCGCATCGCAAACTCGAAAATCCCCGAGAGAGAGAGAGAGAGAGAGAGAGATGCAGAAGAGGGAACAGGGCAAGTCCGGTGGAGCCAGCGGTGGTGGGGCGGCGCCAGCGGCAAAGAGAGGCCGTCCATTCGGAAGCAGTAACAACAGTGCCGCAGCCGCCGCAGCTGATTCGGCGGCTCCGTCAACACTTCTTGGTCCTTCCCTTCACGTTCATAGCTCCTTCGCCGGTTAGTTCGTACATAACTTGTTCTCCTTCATCATTGTGTCTTTAATGTAATTGTTTAATGTTATCTTTTGGTCTGAATTAAATTTCCTCTTTAACAAAGGCTTTTTGTTAGAAATGAGCCAAAATTTAACACACAAACACAAACAACTTAAACCTACACTGCAAATAAAGGAATAAGAAGACCAATTTTAACCACCCGAGTTATTTGAAGTAATATTAATTATGTGGCTAGTGTATGCTATTTGATTTTGTTGGTCTCTTGTGGCACTTTTTTTTTTTTTTTTAACAATAAATTATTAATTTCAATGTTCTTTTGTCATTTAATTTTTCATTCTTTTGCAGATCAAAACAACAAAAGAATTGTTTTGGCTCTTCAAAGTGGTTTGAAGAGTGAGCTTACGTGGGCATTGAATACTCTTACACTGCTTTCTTTTAAAGAAAAGGATGACATGCGCAAGGATGCAACACCCCTTGCGAAAATTCCCGGTTTGCTTGATGCACTTCTTCAAGTTGTATGTGCTACCACTCTTGTTTCACTCTTACTGCTTTCATTTTTTCTTTGTTGTGTATAAGAAACAAAATTGTTTAAAGAATATATCTTCCTTTATTTATTATCAAAAATTGTTACCCTTTTTAGTAATCTGTGGTGTTATAAATTGAAACAGATAGATGACTGGCGTGACATAGCACTCCCAAAGGAACTAGTTAAGACATCAAGGGTCAGGTCATTAGGTGCAAATTCTGTTGTAACTGGATTTGGGAATGAGTATCAGGCATTGGGCTCTACTGGTCCTCTTCACCGTCCTGGGTAAACCTGTTGTTCTCGAATGTCATCATTGTTTTTGAGTTTCTAATTTTCAATGGATTATATGTTTTCTTTTCGGGGATGGGGTGGTAGAGAAAATGAATCTCATTTTAGGATAATGCTCTTAATGCAGCCTAGGATCTGGCTCTGCTGGTACAGAATCAACACAGCAGAATGGTTTGACGAAAACTCGTTTTTCAGAGTTGTGGTTTGATGAAGATAGTCTGTTTAATTTAGATGATGAAGGGCGAGCGGAGAAACAGCAATGTGCTGTTGCTGCTTCAAATATCATCAGGAACTTCTCTTTCATGCCAGATAACGAAGTTATAATGGCTCAACACCGTCATTGTTTGGAAACAGCTTTCCAATGCATAGAAGATCATATCATAGGTGAGAATTGTTGCTGGTTGAATCTAAACTGTTTGTATCTACTTTTCCACATATGGTTCTAATGATAATAAGTAATAACCCCTACAATGTATAAGCTAAAATCTTTTTTTTGTTTTTTTTTGTTTTAAAGTATATTTTAGTCCCTACAAGTTCCATTTATTTGGATTTTGATCCCAACAATGTTTTGGGTTTTAGTACTTATATTTTTACTTATTTGGTTATTGGTTTTGGTCCTTAATATTGAGTACCTGTCTTTATATTTTTGGTTATTTAGGTTTTAGACCCTATAGTTTTTAACTTTTTATTCATCAAAGTAGTCCCTCTATTCCATGAAGGACTCGTCCCTATAGTTTTATGGACCAAAACCTTAAAAGTATGTTATTATATGGACCTATACCAAAAAAGAAAAAAATATCTAGAAGATATGGTTCTAATGATAATAACACCTACAATGTATAAGCTAAAATCTTTTTTTGTTTTTGTTTTAAAGTATATTTTAGTCTCTACAAGTTCCATTTATTTGGATTTTGATCCCAATAATTTTTTGGGTTATAGTTCTTATATTTTTACTTATTTGGTTATTGGTTTTGGTCCTTAATATTGAGTACCTTTCTTTATATTTTTGGTTATTTAGGTTTTAGACCCTATAGTTTTTAAATTTTTATTCATCAAAAGTAGTCCCTCTATTCCATGAATGACTCGTCCCTATAGTTTTATGGACCAAAACCTTAAAAGTATGTTATTATATGGACCTATACCAAAAAAGAAAAAAAATATTTGGACCAACACATAAATGAGTGACTACTATAGGGACTGAAATTTTCCTTAAACCATGGGACCAAAACATTAATAGTATAAAAGTATAGGGACCTGTACCAAAGAAAAAAAAATTTATTGGGACCAAAACTTAAATGAGTGACAACTACAGGTACCAAAATTTACCTTAAACCATCTTTTTTTGTTGAAATCTAACATTATTTAGAAAATTCTTATACCCTAATCTGGACTTGGTTTGGTAAAATATGTACGTGATTATGATATTGATGGCTAAGTCAACAAATTCATTATATTATTATTTTAGATCTGTCATGATACAGTGTGTTTGCATGGTTTTTGCATTGTCATGGCTGATATAAATAGGATCTTCTTTAATTGCTTAGCTTTTCTTTTGAGACAGCTAAGTAGACCTAATATCTGAGGATCTTTTCTGGGAGATAAGTTTCTTCCCTGCACTAGTTAAATGCAGATGGACCTATTTAGTATGGGGGCTCTAATTTTTTTAATCAACAGCAGAAGTGTTTGGTTATTAAGTGCTTGAAGTTTAAATCCTCGATGAATAAAAATTATTTGGAATATATAATTATTAATTGGATGTGGGCTTGTATATGGTTAACAGTCATATGTCTGAGATTTCCAGAGTGAGTTCTGTTATGCCGGCTTATGGTTTTAAGTTTGAGGAATAATTATCATTTATATTTCGTGTTGCATTTAATGGTTGGAGAAAAACAATACTACCAATATCTCCCCTCTTAATCTTCTGGATCTTTTCTAAACCTGAACAAATCCATTTGACCCTAAAACGGAGCAAAACTCATTGGATTTGTTCGGTGTTTCAGAGTTTAATAGGATCTGTAATTTCCTTTCCTTGCAACATATATCCTAGAGGTAATTTGGTGTCTAACAAAAACCAACTTTGAGTTGGACTTTTTAAAATCAGTTTTATTTCAAATATTCTGTTCAGCGTAATACACAGCCCCATTATACAATATATCTTATTTTTAAAGGTTGCCAAACACTCCCTAGATATTTGATTTAAGTCTGAAGTTTGTATTACACCATCATCCAATCATGTATTGCCATATCATTAAAAGAGTTTGTACAGTGTTTTGTTATAAATTGTCTCTAAAATTTTCATTATGTTGATAGAGGATGAAGAACTTGTCACAAATGCTTTAGAGACAATTGTTAACTTAGCTCCACTACTGGATCTTCGAATATTTAGCTCCTCAAAGCCATCATTTATTAAAATAACGTAAGTGATTGATTTACTTTTAATGTTCTTTCTGCATGCTATTATAATATCCTGTTACTGATTGATGAATTGTTGTATTACAGAGAGAAACGTGCAGTTCAGGCCATCATGGGGATGTTGGAATCTACAGTCAAAGCCTGGCATTGTGCTGCTGCTGAATTACTTGGGCGTTTGATCATTAATCCTGATAATGAACCTTTCTTGCTTCCATTCTTTCCACAGGTCAAAATTTTTAGGCATGTAACCTTTCTTGTTAATTTGATGCATGTTCCAAAAAAAAATATTCATCACTGATTGATTACTGCAGATACACAAGCGTTTAATTGATCTTATCAGTTTACCAGTAATGGATGCACAGGCAGCTGCTATAGGTGCACTGTATAACCTTGCTGAAGTTAACATGGACTGCAGGTTGAAGATTGCCAGCGAGAGATGGTGATTTCCTTGTTCCATTTTTTAAATTTTTTTAAATTATTTGTGGTTTAGGGTTTCATGGGGACTTTTTTTTTTTTTTTTTTTTAAATATTTGTAATTCTGTGAAAAGATAAAATCATAGCAGGGTAATTTTCTTTAAACTTTCACAAAGAAACTTGACAATAAATAATAGCACTAACTGGTCAGAATTCCTCAAACTCAGGGCAATAGATAGATTGCTTAAAGTGATAAAGACGCCACATCCTGTTCCAGAAGTTTGCCGCAAAGCTGCCATGATATTGGAGAGTCTTGTTTCTGAACCGCAAAACAGAACATTGTTGCTAGCCTATGAGAATGCTTTTGCGGAGATAATTTTCACAGATGGCAGATATTCTGATACGTTTGCAAGGATATTGTATGAACTAACATCTAGACCAAGTAACAAAGTGGCATCAGCTCGTGGCATCTGGGGTATGTAACTCCAAACTGTGTCAATTGTTGATCTGTGATATGGCTTCAATTAGTCATCAGTGACATAGCTCTTGCTTCTGCAACTTGGATAGCTTTTGGACGACTGGTTCATTTGAAGATTCAAAATGTACATGTCTTCTGTCTACTATTGTAAAATACCTTGAGTGTACTCTAAGTTGTATGATGACAAATGTTTTTCTTTTACATCTTTTTTTCTGTATAAGATGACTGCAAGATTAGAAACTTCAGTTCTTAGATGTGGGTAGATAGGCAGTGTGGTAGCTGAGGGATGGCAATTTGAAATGACATAACATGGTATGATATGATACAATACGAATTTAACACAAACATGAATGCACTCAATATAAACAGTGCACGAATTTGAAAATGGGTCAAAGCCTTTAATACGAACATAATTTACTTATTTTGCAAGTTGACACGACATGAGTAACATACTAATCACAAAGTGTATTGTTTATTATGCTGATTAACACGATATGAATAATCTGTTAACCTTAAAGTGTGTTATTTATTAAGCGAGTTGGCACAATATAACATGAATAACCTCTTGGAATACAAATGCGGATCAATTTCGTATTTTCGAGTTGACACAATTGGACATATTTTTTTTTCCGCGTCAGTGTTTACTAACACGAACATAACACGAATTTGAAAATGAGTTGACTTGAAAATAAATTTCGGTTGAAAATTGTCACTCTAGGTGGCACCTTATATAGAATGCAGCAACATACAAACCAATATCTTATTGAATCAATTGACATGCATTCTGCAAAATTCTATTGAAAAATCAATTTAAGTATGCCTACCTTATCATTAAACTCATCACCACTGTCTGGGTGAGCATCTATGTTTCCTCGTATTGATTGTTCCATACGATTAGAGCTGAGCATCATACTCAAAGAATATGATCAAAATGTTCGGCAAAAAAATTAAAATAATGTATTTAAATTAAATAATTACGTATTTAATGTTGTTTCGTAAAAAATTACACATCTACTGCACAATATGACGCCAGTTTTGGGCGTCACATGTGACGCCCAAAACTAGCGTCACATGTGTGCTTTATATATTTCCTCACCCCCTCCATTCAATTCACACCTCTTCTCTCACTCTTCATATCTCTCTTCTCTACCAATATTCCTTTATCTTTAATTTAGTATTTGAATTTTAGTTGTAATTCTATTTAAAAATGAGCTCAAATCCTGATTCTGTTCGTGTTGTGTTATATTACAATGGTAGGAAGGTAGAAGATCGATGAGGTGTCATATTCGAAGGTGAAAAAAGGCCGACACGTATCCAACGCAACACAACCATTGGCGAACTGCATCAGAGAATTCGGCAGAAGTTAAGTCTTCAAGACAACCAATGTATCACTGAGATCACGACAAGGGTGTGGCAAGGTGATAAATACATTAGTTTGAAAGTGCTTGACGATGAAGACTTGGAGATGACAATGGAAGAATTTTGCAACCAGTCAAGGACAGATTTTCTAGAGTTGTATGTCGACATCGTTGCAACGGAGAATGCTCCCATACCGGTGAGGTCAGTTTATTTAAATTCTCCCTGTCTTCCAGCTTCTCCTGCCGCTCATGCGTCTCCAGTTGGTATCTTTTCTGAGGGAGATGAAAATGATCCGACTTGGGAAATGCACGACGAAGATGACGATGATGATGATGAAAATATGGAAAAGGAAGAACATCTTCTGACGGAGGATGCTAGTGCTTCAGAAGGAGATGAATCTTGTGAGATGGGTGCGTCTGAAATTCCAATATTCCATCAACCAGTCGTCGCGCAAATGCCGCAGTTGAATGACGTTGCGTCTGCTCCGTTTGGTGTTCCACAAGAAGGAATCGTATGCTTTTTTACCAAGGTGGTGCGAATACATGCTTCGCTTTTCTCCAGGTTCATTTTATCATATACAAACTAATGATCTTTATGCCGAGCAGAGCTTAGTTTCTGGAAAAAAGGTTTTTCATCGCATTTTTTGGACGGTTAGACAGTGTTGTGAGGTGTTCAAATTTGCCAAACCCGTCATCCAAATTGATGGAACACATTTATATGGAAAGTACAAAGGGAAATTGTTGGTGGCCACAGCCGAAGATGGTAATAATGAATGTTTACCAATCGCATTTGCCATCGTAGAAGGCGAAACTTTGGAAGCATGGGATTATTTTCTCGTTAATATTCGTGCTCATGTGACTACGATGTCAAACATATGTTTGATATCCGATCGGCATCGAAGCATAATATCTGCTGTGGAAAATAACCCTACTTGGCAGCCGCCAAATGCGTATCACGTATTCTGTATTCGTCATATTGCAAGCAACTTCAATCAAAAGTTTCGAAATGAAGATTTGAAGCGGATGTTAAAGAATTTAGGTATACTCATTGACTGAATGCTTAATTATTTCTTTCCATTATGACTGTCAATTTATGTTTACTTCGTTTATGTCCAATTTGTGCAGGTTATACTCCAGCAATGGTTGATTTTGAAAGGAATCTTGCGAGTTTCCGTGAAAGTAGTCCTCAAATTGCTGAGTGGATAGATGCGATTCCTAAGGAAAAGTGGTCGCGTGCCTACGATATTGAAGGACGGAGGTACGGTCATATGACAACAAATTTGGCTGAATCTGTCAATAGGGTTTTGAAGGGGGGCCAGAAATATGCCTATAACAACATTGGTTAAGCATACATATAACAGATTGGTTGCATATTTTGTTGACAACTGTGTGGAAGTAGATAATAGGTGTGGGAGCAAGCCACATATACTGCTGCTCTGGAGTCACGTCAAGCCACTCATATTCTATATATGGCTGCCACACCACCTACAAACAAAATGTGAAACAATATATAGAGTTACAAAAAAAAAAATAAACCCATAGACAAATAACAACACCGTAAGTATCTAACACCAAACCTCATCTCTACAGAGTGTGTCCAATGTTGCCCGATAATGGGTGACCTCATGAGGTTTAAACTTTTGTACAACATTAAACCTGTCAATCAAAAACATTATCAACCATACATAATCGTCCAAAGTCAAGAAGTATACAGTTAGTACATACATTATTAACCATACATTATCGAAATCAAATGAAGTAAATAAATCATACCGGCATCCATAATGTGTGCCCGGCTCTGGATGAGGAGGAAGGGGTGGAGCAATGGGTGGGAATCGTATCCATGCCCAAATTTGAAGGAGAATATGGCAACCACCTATGTCGCTTCGACGGGCATCTGTCACTTCACACAAATTCCTGAACAAGTGTGTCAAAACTGCAGATCCCCAGCTGAATCGACCAATGTCCTCAAATCCTCCACCTAGCAACGGGACAAGCCGGCAACCAAAATTGCTACCTCCAGACTTGTCCGCCAGCAACCAAGTCCCCAACATCCGGGCAATGTGGGCTTTTGTGAAGTAGATCTCGGCAGCATGATTCCCTTCATGATCAGTCCACCGGGTATAATGTCGATCAAAGAATGAGATGCGGAGGTCGCCAGAATGATGGAACTCACCGGCCCCTGGAACATGTCCAAAAACAGCAGCACAAGCAGCGTGCCAATCCTCAGAGGTCGATCCGATGACGACAGTACCGTCGGTCGGCAAGCCCAAGATGCCTGCCACATCTTGTAAGGTGATCGTCATCTCACCTTGGGTCATGTGAAAGGTATGTGTCTCTGGTCTCCACCTCTTGACCAGAGCACTAATTAAAAATGTATCTATCTGTGATAAATTTCGCAGTTATCACGTGTTAACGAATTTTATTAAATAATTACATAAATACAAAACGACATAAATAACATACCTGGATATGTTGCATCCTGGCAACATGTATGAAACCCGCCTGTCTGAGGTACTCTTCCACAACCTGTGGAATAGCACCGGTAGGTGGGGCCCCTTGTGGCTTCCCACGCCTAGTCTTAATCTTTCTTACATGCTCAGTATTCCACACTCGCTGTGAAATATGACCTTTTTGCGTCCTCTGACGAAGGACCTCCCACCTGTACGGTCCAGGTATGATCCACATGCTGGGATCGGTGGGCTCTACATCCGAATCAGATCCCGAAGAAGATGATGACTCAGCCATTATCCTCAACTAACTACAAAGTTATGCACTCCCGCATTAATAACATCATACATACGAAATTTACAAAGTCTCTAACACTATTTATAAATCACTAATTAATATGCTAAACCCTAATACATAATTAAAAATCGGTAATAATAATAACTACGTAATAATAATATTACTATATCATTACAACATTCATAGCATGACACAAAATTTCTAAGTGACTATCCTAATGTTCCAAGTCTCTAATATACAATCAATCATAACATGTATTACTAACTAGCACTGTAATTTAAATGTATACATATGAGGTATTATGACCTTACCTACGTTGGCAGAGCTTCGCTACGAACCGCGGTTAGAGAGAGGTTAGAGAGGTAAATGAGTAAGGAGTGAAAAAAGGAAAGTGGGGTATATATAGGTTGCACATGAGACGCCCTCTTTGGGCGTCACATGTGACGCCCAAAGAGGGCGTCTCATTGTGCAACAGATATGTAATTTTTAACAAAACAGCATTAAATGCGTAATTATTTTAATTAATTACATTATTTTAATTTTTTTGCCCAAAATGTTCTGAACAAGTTGGTGAAGTATTTCTTCCGCTTGTATTAAGGAAGGACGAGACAGTTCAGTCAGCAGTCAAGACAGTTACGCGCGAAACGATTCATAAAGTACAACAAAATCAATACCTACATGAATGGAAATAAGCCAGTGGGAGAAGGTAAAATTTTTTGCAGTCTAAGTTATAAGGACCAATTTCAATTTTACGTGCTTCGTCTTCAAAAAAATAAAATAAATTCTTTTTCTATTTGATTGTGTTCTGATTTTTTTTCTTCTTAAAACTATTTTGTAGAATAGTAATGAAAACAAGTGTTTTCTATATTTTATTTTTTGGTTTATTTTTTCTGTAGTCAATATAGATAAGTTATTTATATTGAACCTAAAACGACATTGTTTTGGGACAGAAATAAATGTGTTTTTGTAATTATAATGTATTTCAGGGTTATAATAGTCTTTATCATTATAATTTTTTAATCTTTCAACCCAGAACGACGTCGTTTTGGGAATAAACGTAGATAATTTATCTACATTTACTGTAGAAATTGAAAAGAAAAGATGGCTAAACAATCACAAGAGGGGGGGGGGGGGTTGAATTGTGTGTTACTTGAAATTTAAGAAACAATTCAAAAATCAACTTTTAACATACAACTTCAACCAAAACGAAATTATTGATCATAAACATTTTTCCCAATACAAAACAGAATTAAAACAATTCTTATAACATCAATTCAAAGGCAATATGCAGCGGATCAAATTTAAAAGGGAAAATAGAAGAATTTCATTGTTTATGCCCACCCTTTTTAAGAAATCATGCAAGAACGAATTAGAACATAAAAGTAATGATCATAAACCCTTATACAGATTCAATATAACATATATCAAAAATCAAAATGAAATTCAATTGATAGAAATCAAAAGAGATAGGATAAGGAAGAATTACAACGGGATTTATCCTGGTTCACTCTCTAAACCACTTGAGAGCTACGTTTAGATTGAGCTCGATCGTTTTCACTATCATCAAGCTTCCAATAGGTGTTTGAAGAAACCTTTTTACAACTGAAATTTATCCTGGTTCATTCTCTAAACCACTTGAGAGCTACGTTTAGATTGAGCTCGATCATTTTCACTATCGTCAAGCTTCCAATAGGTGTTTGAAGAAACCTTTTTACAACTGAAATTTTACAAGTCTATTATCATATCTTGATCACACTTAACCTAAGCCTTTAGGGTCACTCCAATTGTCTCTGCAACAATTACAACAATTCTCTCTTGCAAAACAGATGTAGAGTCACCTCTCTACGTTCAAACAAAAGAGAAAGAACAGAAAAAGATTAAGAGATGAGAAAGTAATTGAGATTTTTCTCAAGGATGAGCAAATGCAAGACAATATGGGTTCAATTATGAGATTTTTTTGATTCTAAGTTTTTCAGTGTTAATTCTTGTGTTCAGAAACCTAACTATATGTATTTATAGGTGCCCAATGAGTTATTAGTCGTTTATAGCCGTTGGACATAATTTTTTTTGAATTTGTACGAGTTTAAGTCACTTATACCAGAAAGTATTCAATTACTTTTCGGAGAGTATTCGAATACTTCTTCAAACCCAGAAAATATTTGATTATTGTTCATCAAATATTCGATTACTTTTCTATCCAGAAAAATATTCGATTACTTTGAAAAAAGTATTCTATTACTTTTATGCAGAAATCAATTTTCTTGCTATTTTTTGAATTTTAATGTATCCTAATGATTTTCGGTGACTTCTAAATGATTCTAAGTGACTTCTAACATATGTATGATCATGTTTCACACTTGCAGAAGAACTCTTGATGTGTGTGAACATTGTATGCATGATCAAAGTGAATATGTGTCACCTATATATGTTTATGGTTTAGTTTTGCACTTCCTAAGATAAAACTCAATAAACTCAATCCTATAAGTTCTATGACTTAGGTAAGAACTATATAAGCAGTGTAGAGCTATGTCTTTATTGTCTTCTTTGTTTGAGTCTTCTTATACTCCTTTTAGCTTGAAATCTTTGACTTGAGCTTTGACTTTGCATATTTGAGTCTTCTCTTCAACTTTGTACTTTGTTATAAGCTTCTTGTGCTATTTAGAACTTTTTCCCATGCCTTTCATTGAGAGATTTTATGTTGAGCTATGTTGGTACTTGTTGGTGCTTTGTTATCATCAAAACTTCATAAACAATCTCTCCCTTTTTGATGATGACAAACACTTAATTAAGAAATGAGGTTAGTAGCATGTGAAATCAAAATTAAACTCCCCCTATCAATATGCTCCCCATTACTAGGATAGAAAAAAAATCAACAATTCCCATAAGAAGTTAACATTTTTCTCTCTTTGTAAAATAGTAAGGAAACATAAAAGTAATCAAATTACCAATATATATTTCTTAATATTTCATATTTCTCAATACTTCTCCCCCTTTTGGCAACATCAAAAAGTGAAAATATATGAATATGCAATAAAGCATTAAAAATCAACTTAAACTCATACTTTCTTCATATTTTTAAAAGTATTAAGCCAAAGTCATAAGAGATATGTCAAAATTACTCAAAAGAATGAAATTTCCAGAATATTTAGTATTTACAGAAATCCTATTATGAATAAGAACTTTTAATTGAGTGGCATTAAAGTATAAAGTAGTTATCAAAACTTGTACAAATGATATCAAAGCATTAAACTAAGGTATTTGAGCATTTTAAACATCAAAGAAAACATCAAACCATATAGATCAAGAGATTGGATTGAACAATCCTAATTCCACTTTTAATTTCTCAAATTGATCTCTAGGTAATGGTTTGGTAAATATATTCGCAAGTTGAGCATGTGATTCTACAAATTCCATACTAACATCTCCTTTAAGAACATGGTCTCTAATGAAATGATGTCTAATATCAATATGCTTTATTTTAGAGTGCATAATAGGATTCTTTGTCAAATTTATTGCATTAGTGTTATCACATTTAATTGGAATATGAGTGAGGGATAAACCATAGTTTTCAATTTGTTGTTTCATCAACAAAGCTTGGGCAACACAACTTTCAGCGACTACATATTCCGCTTCGGCGGTTGATAAAGCAACATTCACTTGCTTTTTAATATACCAAGAGACTATAGCATTCCCAATCAAGTGACAAGTACCACTTGTACTCTTCCATCCAACTTGCAACCGACAAAATCGGAATCAGAATAACCAATTAAAGTAGGTGAGAATCCCTTAAGATACCACAAACCAATATGTATAGTTCCTGTTAATATTTCAAAATCTTTTTAACGAGATTTAAATGTGATTCTTTAGGATAAGATTGATATCTAGCACATAAGCAAACACAAAACATAATACCCGGTCTAGTAGTGGTCAAATATAATAAAGAGCCAATCATTCCTCTATATTTTGTTACCTCAACCGGTGTACCTTCTTCATCCTTGCGAATTGAAATTGAAGTGCTCATTGGAGTGTCTATTAGTTTAGCTTGATCCATCCCAAAGCGCTTGAGTAACTCTTTGCAATACTTTCCTTAATTGATGAATATGCCTTCTTTTTCTTGTTTTATTTGCAATCTAAGGAAATAATTGAGTTCTCCCATCATAGACATCTCAAATTTGGTTTTAATCGTTTTAGCAAACTCATCACAAAGAATTTCATTAGTAGAACAAAAAGTAATATCATCAACATAAATTTGCACAAGTAAAGTATGATCATGCTTTCTCTTTATGAACAATGTAGTATCTACTTTACCTTTACAAAAATAACCTACAATGATCATACACATAATGATCAACACACATGCTTCATAAACACAAGCAAATTACAAAACAATAACCCCCAACACAAACATATAGCTCACGACCAACAAGGCAAAAATATCTTCCAAGATGTTTTAATTTCAACAAACCAATGTCATCACTTAAACAACCTTATCAACCAAATCACCAATACATTCACACACCTTCCATCAATCCCCAACATAATTTACATCATTTTCCCT